TGACTCATTGCAGTTGCACTGAGACCGAATTTTATTGACAATATATACAATCTTGAGAACAGTTATCCTGACTCACACAATATATTTTGAGAGAGATTCAAATGGTATTTAGGTGTCCACGTGGAGGATCCTCTTTCTGCAGCTCATGAAGCGAGAAATATCTCTCTCTGTAAGCTCCTGCACAGGTAAAGCCCAAGTATGTAACTGTTGCCAAAACTCCCAGGCTCAGCTAGCTCCTGGGGTGTTGCCCAACCAATCAGATCCGTGCTTTGCATTTCCAGTTAACACATTCACCAATTAATTTTTCCATGTCCTAACCTGTTATAGATGGATCACTCTGACCTTTAGAACCAGGGGGGAGATTACCCCTTCCATACCTTTTTGCAGCATCTCCTCCCTGCTAATCACGATCCTGTATTACCCATCTTCAAACTGCCAGGCATTCTATAGACTCACCACCACCAACTGCTAGGCGTGCCACTCTACCAACCACCGTCAACGGCGGGACATGACACCTGGGTTCAGTCCCAATGTGTCCTGTTACGGTAAGTCCTTGCAGGATACAAGTAAATGTGTGAAGAAAAACCATCTTGTTTGTAATGATCTTGTTCAGCTGACTAAGTAGGTCAAGCAGCCATCTTGTGCCACGCCCAAGGGGCTAGAACTGTTGGAGTGTTTTGAATAGAGTGTGGTGGGTACTAGATTTCTGGTGTGCTGCTGCTGGAGTTCTGTGTCACCTGTGTGGAGTACCAGCAGGAGATGCTGAGGGTGAAATGGCCATTTACTTCAGGTTGTTATGATTTCCCATTTGCTGCTTAGAAGATGTTTTATTTTATGTGTATTACAAAGACTGTGTAAACATGTTGCACTGCTGATGTTTGTGTGCAGCATTGCCAGTTCTGTTTCATCTCTGCAAAGTGAAGAGAGTAAAGATTTTCTGTTCACTTTGACTATTGGTCTGAGACTATTTTGCATCTGGGGTTTTTGGGCGTTGGGACGTTAGATTAAAACACGTGCTGCGTAACACGTCCTTCCTCCCTCCCTCACTTCCTCCCTCACTTCCTCCCTCCCTCCCTCCCTTCCTTCCTGTAGCCCTTGGCCTCCTTCAGGCACTCATTCCTCCATCCAAAGGAACACCATCCTGAGCTGAACCTGTTTCTGAAGGCATGGAGAAAGAGATTTGGGTGTCATCTGCATAACGACAGCATCCGTAGATAACCTTTGTGGCTTTGAAAAATCCCTGAGCATCATGGGTATCTGCCAGGTGTTGGATTTCTTCAGCCTTCTTTGTCCACCAGATGTTCTTGAGTTCTCTTGTCCTTCTTTGGACCTCAGCTTTTGTGCTCGGCTTTTTTGCCACCCTATACCCCGGTCCGGTTTACGATCGACCAGGAGGACCTCTGTCTTGTTGGGATTAATCTTCAGCTTGTTCGTCCTCATCCAGACAGCCACAGCGGTCAGGCACTTGTCTAGCACTCGAGGGGCTTCCTTGGAGTTAGGTGGAAAAGAGTAGTAGAGTTGTGTGTCATCTGCATAGAGATGGCACCCAACTCCAAAACTCCGGATGACCTCACCCAGCGGTTTCATGTAGATGTTAAAAAGCATGGGAGACAAAATGGAGCCTTGCGGGACCCCACAGGTCAAAGGCCAGGGGTCCGAGCAGGCGTCTCCCAGCTTCACCATCTGGGATCGACCCTCCAGGAAGGACCGGAGCCACGACAAAGCCGTACCTCCAAGGCCCATCCCGGAGAGTCGTCCCAGAAGGATACCATGATCGATGATATCGAAAGCCGCTGAGATGTCCAAGAGAACCAACAGGGTCACACTCCCCCTGTCCAGCTCCCTACGGAGATCATCCACCAAGGCGACCAAAGCCGTCTCGGTGCCATGGCCAGGTCTGAAGCCAGACTGTGACTGATCCAGGTAGTTGATGTCATCCAGGAAGCCCTGGAGCTGAGCAACGACCACCCGCTCCAACACCTTGCCCAGAAAAGGGAGGTTTGAGAGTGGTGTGTAGTTATTCAAGACCATGGAATCAAGGAAAGTCTTTTTCAGGAGTGGTCTGACCACAGCCTGTTTTAAGCCTGATGGAAAAATTCCTTGCTCCAGCGATGTATTGATGATTAACATAAACCAATCAATCAGACGATTCTTGGCCGATTTAATTAGCCAAGACGGGCAAGGGTCCAGAGCCGATGTAGCAGCTCTCACTGCTCTAAGGGCCACCTCCACGTCCTCAGGACAAACAAGCCGGAAGGAATCCCACAAAACTGGACAAGCAGATGCCTCGGTCACCTCTCTTGGAACTGCGATCAAACTGGAGTCCAGCTCAAGATGTATCTGAGCAACTTTGTCTGCAAAGTGCTGCGCAAATTCGCAGCACCGAGTTTTCGGGTCATCAAAGGGTTAAGAAGGGTCGTCAGGAGGGTTAAGAAGTTCCCCAACGACCCGAAACAACTCCGAAGATCTGTTAGATGCAGATGCTATACGGGCAGTCGTGAAGGTCTCCCTGGCTACCCGTATAGCCGCGGAATAGGCCCTAAGTGAGGCCGTAGCCCGTGCTTGATCAGATACATCCTGGGATTGCCTCCATTTGCACTCTAGCCTCCTTCTCGTGCGCTTCATCACAGCCAACTCCCCAGTGAACCAAGGAGACGGTATGTCTCTACGTAACGAGAGGGGGCATTCGGGAGCGATCAAGTCTATCACCCTGGCCATCTTGCTATTGTAGCAATCGACCAGCAATCAACCAGAGTGTCAACATGATCGCCAGGTTCCATGGCGGGAAGAGCCCCAAGATTCCTCAGGAATCCTTCCAGATCCATCAGTCTCCTGGGGCAGATCATCTTGGTTGATCCTCCACCCCTGCGAAGGTTTGTGGTCGCAGTAAGTCTAAAGCTGATCAGATGATGGTCAGACCATGACAATGGAAAGATATTTTGCTCTTCCACTCTGACCATTCCACCATCCGCTACAAAAACCAGGTCGAGTGTATGACCAGCCTGATGGGTGGGCCCAGATATGACTTGTGATAGCCCCATGGTCGTCATGGCGACCATGAAGTCCTGAGCTGCCTCTGTTAAAAATGTTGAAATCTCCCAGTGCAATGAAGCACTGGGAAACCAAGGCCGAATTGGAGACCACCTCTGCTAGCTCAAGGTAGAGAAACTGCTGAGTCGCGGGGTGGGTGGTACACCAGCAGAATCCCCACGCTGTCACAGTTTCCCACCCTCAGGTGAACACACTCGAACCTGGGAGATTGCAGAACAGCACATCTGATCACGGCAATGGACTTCCGAAAGTCTACTGCATATAAATATTATATTTGTATATACAATATATTATATTACATTATATTATATTATTAGCATAGCACAGGAGACAAGGTGGAACTGTCCCCTGGCCCCCTCTCTCTTCACGCTGGCCCAGAGCGGCAGTTGGTGTGCGGGGGGGGGGGGGGGAACTGATGACATATGCAAGAGACGAGGACCTGACTTCCCTGGATCTAGACACTGGACTCCTATTGAGGCCATTGGCTTTTTTGCCGCCACATCACATTTGTGGTTTATGTTTAACTTGTCCACGAGGACTCCAATTTGAGCATTATTAGATTGAGTCTTTTATAGGAGTATTCTGCTGATGTAGTCCCAAAGTTGTAAATGAATGATAGACCTCTTCCATCCTGGCTCCATCTCAGTTTCCTAGCCAGATGTTGACTCTTCTTGATTGTTGTTAGCCTTGTGTTGATTTCCTTCTTAACATTGTAAACATTTATCTTTTCACTGTCCAGTTTTTATCACAGTTTTCTTTTCAGTTCTTATTAGCGACTTTTAATTACAATCCAGCAGGAAGGTGATTAGAAATTGCAGGCCTTAATATTTTACTGGTGTTTCCAAAATTATTGACTCCATTTATTCATCTTTCCATTCATTCCCACACATCATATTAAATCCACATTGATCAAATCTGCATATTAAATTTTCGTGACACCCTCTTGTGGACAAGGGAATATTGCACTTGCCTTGAGATTCTGAAGTGGGCCCTTGAGCCGTGGAGGCGCCTCTGTGCTGCCATCTTGTGGACAGAGTGGGCAGACTGCCTCTATGTCATATTTCCCCCTCTCAAAGGAGGAAGGCAAGAAAAAACAGTAAAGAAGGGGGGAAAGGAAAGAAGAAGGCATAATGAAACCTTCAAGTGGTCTCCAAAAGGTCCCAAATGTTTCCTGCTTCTGAAAGGCTTCCCTGACCAGGGGAAAAGTTACAATTTTTCACCCTTTAGCAGACCTTTAACTGGCAGCTGGGGGAGAAATATCTCTGGACGAGGCACGTTTTTAATAATGTTTTGTTGAAGGCTTTCATGGGCGGAATCACTGGGTTGCTGTACATTATTTGGCCTATCTGGCCATATTCTAGTAGCATTCTCTCCTGGAGTTTCCCCTGCATCTGTGGCTAATGGCACCTTCAGAGGGTGTGTTGGCAGCGAAGCAAGTGTTGTATATATTCCTGTGGAATAATATCCAGACCCTTGTCTGTTTGAAGCAAGGGTGAATGTTGCAATGAGCAAGCTTGCATTAGCATTGGAGTAGCCATGAAGTCTGCAGAGTCAATCAGTGAGGATATCTGCAGAGAGGCGGCCTGGCCTCTGTTGCCTGGAGGCACCCTCTGTTTGGGAGGTGTTAACTGGCACCTGATTGCTTGCTGTCTGGAGTTCTCCTGTTTCTGAGTGCTGGACACAGAATTCTATTTATAAATGCAGAAATGCTGGGCCATTCACACCTGCTTCAAGCAGACAAGGGTTCTTTCTCCCACCCTGGACATTATTCCACAGGGATAGAGACACTCCACTTGCTTCATTGTCCAACAGAACCTCTGAAGACCCTGATGTTTGCATTTCTGGGTGTTTCCATTTTCAACATGGCCAATGAAGGGAAATGGGGAAATCGTGGAGGTAAAGAAAGTTTCTCGCCTTCATTTTTAATCTTTTGCTTCTTTCTTAACCAGGAAAATGAAGATTCAATGGAGCTACCCCTTGGATGTAGCAAGGTGATGGACTTGCTGAAATCTTGACCTCACATACAGATAAGGAAGGAAAAAGGAAGACGGTATTGCAATCAAACACCCAGATCATGGCTGACATGGAGGAGAAAGCATTGATATGCCTGGAATGTGGGAAGAGTTTCACTCGGAGGGATCATCTGAAGCGACATCAAAAGACTCACACGGGGGAGAAACCCTATAACTGCCTGGAGTGTGGAAAGAGCTTCTCTGAGAGTTCAGATCTACGTTCACATCAAAGGATTCACACTGGGGAGAAACCCTATACATGCCTGGAGTGCGGGCAGAGCTTCGCTAAGAGTGGAAATCTACATTCACATCAGAGGATTCACACTGGGGAGAAATCCTATACATGCCTGGAGTGTGGACAGAGCTTCACTCAGAGTGGACATCTACGTTTACATCAAAGGATTCACACTGGGGAGAAACCCTATACATGCTGGGAGTGTGGAAAGAGCTTCACTACAAGTGGAAGTCTACGTTCACATCAAAGGATTCACACTGGTGAGAAACCCTATACATGCCTGGAGTGCGGGCAGAGTTTCGCTAAGAGTGGAAATCTACGTACACATCAAAGGATTCACACTGGGGAGAAACCCTATACGTGCCTGGACTGTGGGCAGAGCTTCACTACAAGTGGAAGTCTATGTTCACATCAAAGGATTCACACGGGGGAGAAACCCTATACATGCCTTGAGTGTGGAAAGAGCTTCACTGGGAATGGAAACCTACATAAACACCAAAGGATACACACTGGGGACAAACCCTATACATGCTTGGAGTGTGGAAAGAGCTTCACTATGAGTGGACATCTGCGTTCACATCAAAGGATTCACACTGGGGACAAACCCTATACATGCCTTGAGTGTGGGCAGAGCTTCACTGAGAGTGGAAGTCTACGTTCACACCAAAGGACTCACACTGGGGAGAAACCCTATACATGCCTGGAGTGTGGGCAGAGCTTTACTAAGAGTGGAAATCTACGTTCACATCAAAGAACTCACACTGGGGAGAAACCCTATACATGCCCAGAGTGTGGAAAGAGCTTTGCTCAGAGTGAACATCTACGTTCACACCAAAGGACTCACACTGGGGAGAAACCCTATAGATGCCTGGAGTGTGGGCAGAGCTTTACTAAGAGTGGAAATCTACGTTCACATCAAAGGACTCACACTGGGGAGAAACCCTATAACTGCCTGGAGTGTGGACAGAGCTTCACTGAGAGTGGAAGTCTACGTTCACATCAAAGGATTCACACTGGGGAGAAACCCTATAAATGCCTGGAGTGTGGGCAGAGTTTCACTCAGAGTGGAAGTCTACGTTCACATCAAAGGACTCACACTTGGGAGAAACCCTATGTATGCCTGGAGTGTGGAAAGAACTTTGCTCAGAGTGAACATCTACGTTCACACCAAAGGATTCATACTGGGGAGAAACCCTATAGATGCCTGGAGTGTGGGCAGAGCTTTACTAAGAGTGGAAATCTACGTTCACATCAAAGGACTCACACTGAGGAGAAACCATATACATGCCCGGAGTGTGGAAAGAGCTTCATTCATAGTTCAGGTCTACGTAGACATCGAAGGACTCACACTGGAGTGTGGAAAGAGCTTCACTACGAGTGGAAGTCGACGTTCACTTCAAAGGATTCACATTGGGGAGAAATCCTATAAACACATAGTGTGTGGGAAAAGTTCTGAGAGTAGAAATCTACATAGACATAGAATCCACATTGGAGAGAACAGTGGTATTTGACCCCAAAGAGAGTTTCCCAGATAGAGTTTTCATATTGGTGAAACACTTTTTAGACATGCATCCTTTTGTGACACAATAATTTAGTTTAACTAGCAAACCAGAGGTTAAACAACCTCATATAAGATATTCAATATAATACTATATTATATAATACTAGCTGTACCCAGCCAGGTGTTGCTGTGGCCCATTTTGGAGAAATGGGGGGAAAAAGAAAAGAGGAAGATCTGGTTCCTAAGCTATCAATACACAACTGAAGGGGCAAAGTGTCAATGTAACATAGGCGCATTTCAGTCTCCTCAAGGCCAACGGGTTATATGGATGTGTGGAAGGGCTCTGGGTTGCCTGAGTCCACACTCCATATAATCTAATTCAAAGATACTATATAGGTATTATTGTTGTTATTATTATAGACATATAGATATTATTATAGGCATATAGATTTTTTATTATTATTGATATATAGATATTATTATTATAGACATAGATATAGGCATATAAGTATTATTATTATAGATGTGTAGATATTATTGACAGACAGATATTATAGTAATCGACAAGGTGATTTGAATGCAATATTCCTGCTTCTTGGCAGAATGGGGTTGGACTGGATGGCCCATGAGGTCTCTTCCAACTCTTTGATTTTATGATTCTATGATATTATTACAGACATACAGATATTATTATAAACATGTAGATATTATTGTTATAGACCTATAGATATCATAGACACACACACACACATATAATAGACTTATAGATATTATTATGATAGATATATAGATATTATTGTAGATATATTATAGCCAAGGGTTGCTATAAAGTAAAAATGGATGGCCGTCTTTTGGGAGGGTTTTGATTGTGCCTTTCTGGACAGACTTTCCTAACTCACAGAGCATTCGTTTTTGTCCTTCCTTTGAATACTGGACTTCATTCCCCAGAATTCCTTCCCATAACTCAATATGGATGATCTTTCTGGGCACACACACACACACAATCCCTCCCGTGTGAGTTCCCAGCAGCCCAGCGGAGGCACCTCCATGCTGCCGACAACCAAGACCCGAGAGTTCTGTTAATTCCACAAATGAATATTACATTTATATTTTTATATAGTTAATTATTATTATTTACTTTGCTTCTATACCGCTGTATCTCAAGCCCGAAGGCGACTCACGGCGGTTCACAAACA